TTATTTCATGTGTCTGCATGTTTGCCTGCATACATGGAAGAACACTTCATGCATGGCATGCTTGGCACCTGCAGAGGCCAGACAAGGTTGTAGTGTCCCCTAGAGCTCAGGGCTACAGATGTTTGTGAACTGCCTGAGCGGTGCTGGAAACCAAACTTGATTTCCCTGCAAGTGCAGTAAAAATTCTTCCCCTCCCCCAAAGATTAACTTTTATTTTATGCATGTGTGTATGTGCACCCTGTGTGTGCAGGTGTCTGTGGGGGCCAGAAAAGGGTGTGAGACCCTCTAGAGCAAGGGTTACAGGTTTTTGTGAGATACCTTTGTGGATGCTGGGGACCAAACTTGAGCCCTCTGTGAGATCAGCAGATGCTCTTAACTGCTGGGCCATGTCTCTCCAGCTTCCAGCAGTGCTGTTCTTAACCCCTGCGCCCTTTCTCTAGACCAGAGCTGGATATTTCTGAAGAGTGGCTAACCGAGCTATGAATTGTATCTCAAGTGAAGCGGTGAAAATACCATCCTTGCTCTCTATGGTTAATTCTCCATTCGAGGGCATCGGCTTGCTTCTGTCAGATAAGTAAACAAGTCCTGATGTCAGGAAACTGAGCAAGGAGTGAGTGTCAGGCTGAAGAGATGGCGCAGCTGGCGAAGGTGCTCGCTGCCAGGCTTGATGACTTGCGTTCGATCCCTGCGACTGGCGTGGTGGGAGAGAACCAGCTCTCACACATATTCTCTGACCTCCACACATGCCCCATGGCGTGCACATGCGTAAACGCCCACAGGCAAAAAGAAGAAAATGCCCAATCGCGGGAACTGTTAGCAGGTGCTGTCGGTGTTTGGGGAGGAAGGACGAGGATGAGAGAGAACAGAGGGATACAGGCAAGGTGGGATTTAAATGAAACCCTGAACCACAAGTGAGATTCATTGAGCTTTCTGGGGATTTGGAATGGCTGGAAATTCACTCCGTGTCTAGTGTTCCTCTTGTCCCCAGGACTCTAAGCTTCCTTTGTCTTGACACTGATCTAGACTCCAGCTGCTCATTGCTGCACCTGGGGCATGCCCTGCTGCCCGCTGCATTCTAGTTGCAACCAGTGGTGGTGGAGTGACTTGCTTGCTGGGTGGGGTACCAGCTCCGGGCCAGCATGGAGTGGGTCTTTGTTCACGAAGAATTCTTGTGAACTCAGTAATCCTGACAAGACCAGCTGGTCAAGCTTTTAATTTACTGGTTCTCTACCTATGGGTTGTGACCTCTTTGGGGTCGAACTACCCTTTCATGGTGATCGCATATCAGATATTTACATTACAATTCATAACAGTAGCAAAATTACACTTGTGAAGTAGCAACGAAAATAATTTCAGTGGTTTACGGTCGCTGCAACGTGAGGAACTGTATTAAAGGGTCGCAGTGTTAGGAAGGTTGAGAACCACTGCTCTAGGTGCTTGTGCGGAGAGAATCGGCAAGACAGGGATACTCTCAGCAGCCCATCTTTGAGGAACAATCAGGAATCACTTTGTAGAAGCCAAAATCTAAGAGCGTTGCTGCAATTTCGAGAAAAGAGCTGAGCCGGCTGAGTACTATGGACTCTCTGGAGGCTCGCTGGCTTCGAACACAAACGATGACGTCCCCAGAGGGTGGCTCTGCTCTCATCAGTCTCTATCCTCACTGCTGCTAATAGTAAGATGTCTCCTGTGACTGGAGACCATTCCTGCAGGCTTCTTCTGGTTGCTGTGGGCAGATCCAAAGTGTCTTATTTATGTCATCTAGACCTCAAGCAACCTGAGTGCAGGATTTGGTTGTCATCCTCACAGATGGTATCTCCCCGATGGTGCATAGTTCCTGGCATGGCAACCTTCAATGAATAATGTCTGTATATATTACAGCTTACTTCTAACACCCAAAATCTCATCTCTTGGTTTATCATACCTACTTACTGTAAAGGCAGGAGGCACCTGTGAACACTGGGAACACGCATCCTGACAGAAAACTGTTTTCACGTGTTTTGTATAAAATCAAGTAAGAAACGAATGCAATGGGTAGTGGTGGCACACACCTTTAATGCCGGCACTCGGGAGGCAGAGGCAAGTGGACCTCTGTGAGTTCGAGGCCAGCCTGGTCTACAGAGTGAGCTCCAGGACAGCCTGGGCTACAAAGAGAAAACTTGTCTTAAAAAAAAAAAAAACAAAAACAAAACAGAAATAAAACAACAACAACAGCAACATAAAAAAAACGCCAACCAATTAAACAAAAAAGAAATGAAGGCAATACATTAATTATCTTAATGATGCTGATAACATTACTTGGAGGCCATCCTCATTTGATGTTTGGAAATATGTTCTTACATTGTACCATTCATCTAAATTCCATTTTCTTCCCAGAAGACTATAGATGCTTTTATAAATACAGTGCGCGAAACTGCACTAGATGGCTCAGTGGTTTGGAGAACACCATTCTTGCTTGTAATTCTAGCTCCAGGGGGCACAACAGCCTCCCGGGCTACCTGTATTCGCAGGTACACACCTTCCCACATATACATAACTATAAAAATAACAAATTAGAAACTAGCAGATGAGAAGGAGTCAGATCAAAGGGCTGAGTTTAAGTGGTGCGTGCTTAGCCATAGATGGCAGTGTTAAAGTCCTCCACCCCTAAGACCTAGGGAACATCTTGGAGGAAGGCTGGGATGAATCTAAGGGCAGGAAAAGTGTTGGGAATCCCTGTCTTCAGTACATGACTTGGCTGTGGCACAGCTCACGGCAGTTGTGGTCATATGTGCAAGACCTCCACGGGATCAAGCCAGTTCAAACTCTGCAGGGGTGGTGGTGCACATTTTTAATCCCAGCATTCCAGGCAGTGACAGGCAGATCTCTGTGAGTTTGAAGGCAGCTTGGTTTACAGAATGAGTTCTAGGCCAGTCAGAGCTACATAGTGAGACCTTACCTCAAACAGCAATGAAACAAAGCATCATCATCAACAACAACAATGAAAGAACTTCAGAATGAGCGAGGGAGCGATGCCCATGGCCCCGCTCCCAGCCGAGGAGCTATTAGTTACTTTGCGAGGGAAGGAGAGGCACTTTTCTATGGGTTTGTGTTCACTTGTGCATTGCCTGTGCCTCACTGGACATCCCCATGCACATATGGGAAGAAAAATGAATGAAATTGGGAAGGAGATATGCTGGGGTGTAGGGATGTTGAAACAGAGAATAGGGGATGGGTGAGATCAAGATACCTTGTGTACTTGTATAAAATTTTCAAATAATAATTTTTTAAGATGAGCCTGGACATGCCACCAAAAGAGAAATGTAACTCCAGGCCAGACTCAACTCCTTGTGTCCTGCCTGCAGGACGTGCTACAGCAATGGGGACACAAAGCTCATGGAAACAACCAACTCATAACCGTTTTGATTTAAGGGCCATTCCACAGATGGAATCTATACCCAATATTGTTGGGTGACCAACAACCCAGAGACCTAGAGTAAAACCAAATACAATGGTCTTAACAAATAGTGCTATCATGATTCCTAATGACATTGTACTATTCTCATCGACTAGTGCCTATGGTCTATCTAAATCCACACTCTATCTCTACTATTCACAGAGATCCTCCTGCTTCTGCCTCCAGAGCAATGGGTTTAAAGGCGTGTGCCACCACCACCTGGCTCATTATTATCTCTTAGAAACCTGTTCTTTTTTTCCTAGGTGTGCTTGTTTTTCTTGTTGTTGACTGGATGGTTTGGTGTGTTGGTTTATTTGTGTTCCTCTACCTGGCTGTAGATACACTGCTGCCTATGGCTTGCTCTTTCTGTCATGGTGTTGGTGTAGACAGCATAACATTTACTACTGCAGCCACATAGAAGACACAACACCACCCCATCAGTCATTCACACTGTTGGCAACCATTAGCATTCTCCACCTTCCCAAAGTAAAATCCAGCCCCGTTAGATATTAGCTCCACCTCTCTCCTCCCCTTCTGAATAGTCTGTGTAGAGCTGGAGGCACACATGAATTGGGCAAATGACCGAGTTTAGGCCTGGATTACTCTTCTTTCCCTCCAGACCTTTCAGAGATAGAAAAGCCGTCCAAGACCCACTGCTCAGCCGTGGGACAGGGCACAAACTCTCTACATAACAAGGAGGATTTCTAGGAAGCTGTATTTTACAATAAAGCTTAAAACTGAAGCCTGTTGGGGAGCTCGCTCCCTCATGGGTTCTCCCGATTTAGATTCTGGGACCTATTCAGTTCACGTACATTGTACTCTCTCAACTGCCAGAAACGAAGGAGAAAGATTACGTTACATGGGGGGGTCATATGACAAGGAAGTCCCAGGCTGCCGGACAGAGCCACAGGCTGGACCCTCTGTGGCCAAGACTCATCATCCCTAAGGGATGGCTCTCCGAACGCCAGATGGGCGGTCACTGGCATGGACAGGCAACAGGTGCCCCCAGCCTGTTTTCTTCTCTGACTCCAGGGAACAGCAAATCCTGTCCTCTCTGGAAACATGAACAAGGATGATAAATATTCTCAAGCATTTGAGTTATGCCAAAGGCATGTCTTAAAACCAGAAATAAATAAGCGGCTTTGAACCAAGATGAAGTCACAGAGACAATCTCACAAACATCAGACTCAGGATTTCAGGGCCCGTGTCCTCTCAAGCAGGTGGCATCAAGGTCTGTCAGCAAAAGTGTGTGTGCACGTTTGTATCTTAGCTTGTGTTTTGTGTAAGTGTATACTGTCATTTTTCTAAATACTTTTACAGTGAAATACAATGCTTTATTGGAAATCATTACCTCATTTACAGCAAATTGTTCCTAAATCAATTATTTTCCTCTTTAATTTGACATTCTTCAGAGGATTCCAAGTACACAGCAAACCTTGGTGTTTGGCTGTTTTGTAACTGCTACCACAATACAGTAGTCGTGGGATTTTCTTTTTCTTTGAGGTTGGTTGTGTAGTGGTATCATTTTCTGTGATTATGCTGACTTCACATTGCTTCCTTTTTCCAGTGTGGTGCTTCACATCACTTTCCCAATGTGCAGAGCACTGTTAGCCTCCACGAACTCGCGTGGCTGGCACTGGAATGGCGTTGAGCACGTCGAAGAGACTATCCTCCACCCTCTTCTCATTTAACGCTCCCCACGAGCCCTTAGCTTCATTTAGCAGATGAAAGAAACGAGGCAAGTAACAGTTTCAAATGCTAATTTGCATTTATGCCGAGAGATGTGGATATGTTCAAATTGGGGTTTCCCTCATTAGCCAAAATTGTTTTTAGTAGACTTATTTTTAGGCCACGTTTCGGTTCGCACAAAAACTGAATGAAAAGCGCAGAGATTTCCCATGTGTCCCTGCCCTCGTTCATGCATTCCTCCCCATTCCTAGCATCTCTCCCCACACTGGGATATTTGTTGGAAATCAGAGCCTGCATTGACATATTGCCACACAGGACTCACAGCTCACAGCAGACTTCTCTTAGAGCTGGTATGTTTAACGGCTGTGGAAATTTTGTAATGACATTTATCCATGGCAATAGTATTGCTCCGAGAGGCTTTGTTGCTTCAACTATCCTCCGTTCTCCACCTTTCTCCCTCTACCCTCCTAGCCCTCGGTCACTGCCAATTTTCTTACTGTCTTAATGTTGGTAGTTTTGCAGTTTTCAGACTGTCACACACTTCAAGTGACACAGGGTGTGGGTTTTTCAGACTGACTCCTTCAGTTAGTGGTATGCATTTTTAAGGCTTCTCTGCATATCTATTTTAAAGATTTGGTTATCTTATACTCATGTATGTGTTTTTAGGCACACATGTGTGTTTGTGGGTGTCCACAGACATGAGAAGGTGGCCATGGAGCACCTGAAGTGGGTGTCACAGGTTTGGAGTCACTTGATGCTGGTGCTGGCAATTCCAATTCTGGTCCTTCCATAGAGCAGTCAAGGCTCTCAGGCTTGGAGCCGTCTCTCCAGTCAGTCTCTGGGGAGTCCTATGTGTATTCTCTGGGTATTTGGTAGCTCATTTCTTTTAGTAGCTAAATGGTGTTTCCAGACAATGGGCATGAGTTCATTTATCTATTCAGCTGCTGAAAGACATCTTGATTTCTTATAAGCTATAGCAATCAGGAATAAGGCTGGCTATTAGGTGCAAGGTTTTGTGTGGAAATAGACTCTTTTCTCCTTTAGGTAAATTTCCAGGAGCTCAGCTGCTGGGTTGTATAGTAAGAACATCTTTAGCTTTGTAAGAGATTGCCCGACTATCTTGGCTGTACCATGTTGTATTTCCTCCAGCAGTGGATGAGAATCCCTGTGTGCGAATCTACAGTTCAACGTTATAGCGGCATTTTCTCAGTTAAGGCTCCCTCCTCTCAGGTGGCTCTAGCTTGTGTCAACTTGACATGAAACTAGCCAGCACCTAGTGTGCATTAAAGTGAAAGCCCACAAAAGTCTATTTAATCACTTATTAAGGGGTACAATGGAAAAACAAACTCACCCCAAATGTCTTCAGCTAAGTGGATCGAGCTCCCACAACATTTCCCCTTTTATTTCTAATAAAGAAGGGTCTAATCCTAGCATCAACTACATACTGCTCTTTCAGAGCACCTGCGTTTGGTTCCCAGCTCCCACACCAGGCACTCAGAGCTGCCTGTTAACTCCAGCACCAGGGGATCTGATGCCGTCTCCTGGCCTCCTCTTCTACTGTGTTGTCTTTGCCATGTCACAGACCTAAAAGAAATGCACTGAAATCCTGAGCTGGAATAACTCCCACCCTGTGTTAGGAAGCTTGTTACCAAGAGAGAAAAATGCCACGCTAACCTTCCTGGTTTTGAAGTCTGCGTTATCTGAATTAATATAGTTCTTCCTGTTTTCATTCGGCTAGTGTTCAAGCCATGCCCTTTTCTACCCTTTTCCCTCATGTCCTCTCTTCTTTCCTTCTTCCCAACCTCCTCCTTTTGAAAGAGGGTCTCAATATGTAGACATTAAGATCTTCCCACCTCATCTTCATGAATCCCGAATTACAGGTATGTGCCATTATGCCCACGTTACCTCTACATGTGTTTTATATTTTAATTGCTTTCTTATAGAAAACACGTATTTGCATCTTTTTTGATTCTTTGTTGATCTCTGTGTTGAACTGTCATAATTAGGTCATTAGTGTTAATTGTTTAGTTGATGTGTTGGACTTAGTGTGCCTCCCCACATTTACTGGGTTTTCATTGGTGTCCTTGCTCATTATCCCCATTTTGTCTTCCTCTTCTGCCTTTTGTGGTCCTAATTGATCATTTAGTATCATTTCATTTTATCCTTTTCCTTAACATATATTATGCTTTTTTTTAAAAAAAAATGTGGTTTTGTTTTACATTTGGCTACCCTTGAGTTTGCAATATGCACTTAAAATGAATCCACGCCCATTCTTAAATAATTCTAACTCATGAGGAGTGCAAGGTGGTCATAAACCCTCCTCCTGGTTCTTCATTTCACTTCCCTCTAAGTACAACTAGACATCTATAAATGAAATAAAACGTCACCATTAAAATTTCCACAGCTGTCTGTGATATCAAGTAAGTAGAACAGTAAAGAATTTTGATTTGATCTTTATTTATTCTTCCATTTTCGCACTCTTCTATTCTGTCGTGCATGTGTGTGTGTGCATGTGTGTATGTGTGTGAATGCATGCATATGAGAGAGAGAGAGAGAGAGAGAGAGAGAGAGAGAGAGAGAATTTGACCTGCATGAATGTGCATGCGCCATGTGTAGGTCTGGTTCCCACAGAGGCCAGAAGAGGGTTCGGGAACCCCTAGAACTGGAGTTACAGATGGTTGTGAGCCATGTTTGTGGGTGCTAGGAATCGAACCCAGGTCCTCTGCATCTCTGAAAGAGCAGCAAGTGTTTTTAATCACTGGGCCTTCTCTCTAACCCCTTTCTTTCACTGTATAGGTGTGTGTGTGTGTGTGTGTGTGTGTGTGTAGAACTTCTTTGACACGTCTTATAAAGTAACAGTGCTGCCCATGAATGAATTTCTTCAAAAGATTTGAAGCTAGATCTCACATAGCCCATGCTGGCCTTAACCTCACCTTATTGTTCAAGCGCTATGGTCACAGGCACACATCACAACACCAACTTTCTCTTTGATTTTTCTAATTTTATTTATTTTTGAGTTTTTTAGAGAGTCTCCCTTTATAGCTTGACTGTCCTGACATTCATTATGTAGCCCAGGTTGGCCTTCAGCTCACTGTGTAGTCAAGAATGAGCTTATCCTCTAAGCCCTGTGATCACAGGCATGCATCTCCACACCAGCTATCTCTCTAATTTTTTATTTTTATTTCATGTATTTTATTTTTTAATTTAATTTATTTATTTTATTTTTGAATTTCTGAGACAAAATCTTACTGTGTGGTTCTAGCTGTCCTGGAACTCACCATGTAGACCAGGCTTGCCTTAAACTCACAGAGTTCTGCCTACCTCTACTGAGAACAGGAGAATTCTAGGAAGAAGGAAGCCCATTCCTACCAGTCCTGCCCAGACCCCCGAAGAAGCAGAATGTGACATACCCTGCTAAAAAAGCTACTGAGCCATGTGGCTAACATAGATAAGAATAATGGGTTAATATAAGCTACAAGAGCTAATAAGATAAGAAGCCTGGGCTAAGGGGCTGATCAGTTTATAACCTAATGTAGACTCTCTGAGTGATTTTCTTTGGGGGCTTACTGGCTGTGGAAACCCCAACAAGCAAGCCCTCATGTTACATACCTCTACCTCCTGAGCTCGTGGGATTAAAAGTGAGCACCACCATGCCTAGCTTTCGCTTTTACTTTTGGAGTGGCTCACCACATAGAGAATTGTACCCCAGACTGTTTCAACCAACACCTTCAACATTTTATTGCCCAACTCTTTTCTTGATTTCATGATTTCTGAGGAGACATAGGTATAATTCTAGTCTTTTCTCCTCTGTAAATAGAACGTTGCTTTCCCTCTGCCGCATTTTGAAGAATTAAAGAGTAATAATTTCATTGATTCTAAACTCTAAACGCTATGCCCAGGTGTCGTTTTTCTGCTTATCCTGGTTTAGCCACTTCCTGTTTTCTAAGCTTTCCAGACCTGTAGTTTTGTGTGTGATGCTAATTTGGGGGAATTCCTCGGTCATAACTGCTCAGCTACACCCTCCAATCCTTTCATGAGTCTCCCTGTGTTCTTGGCGCATGTGCACCCCAGCCTTTGAAGTGTCCCATCTGCGCTTGGATGTTCTGCTCTGGGTTTCTCTGGCGTACTCCCCTTCCCTCATTCGCTCTTCAGCTTGGGATCTTTCAACTGAGATGCCCTCCAGCATGGAGATTCTCCCTTCTATGTTCAGTCTACTAATGAACCCATCAAAGGCATTCTTAGCATGTTACAATGTTTTTGATTTCTAGTACTTATTTGGTTCTTAGGAGTCTCACCTCTGCCTAAATTGCCCATTGATTTCCACAGAGTCTACTTTGTCTATTATGTTCCTTAGCCTATTGTTAAATGGCTTATTTATGTAACTATTGTCTTTTCTCTTGAGACTGAGTCTTACTCTGTAGTCCAGGCTGGCCTTGAAGGCACTATGTAGCCCAAGCTAGCCCAGCTCACTGTGCTTTCCCTGCCTCAGCCGGCCAAGTTCTGGCCTTAAAGCTAGGGGCCATCACAGGCAGTTTATTTGTGTTTGTTCTAAATTCTCAGTCTGATAACTTTATTGTTCATGCTTATTTGAAGCTGATTCTCACTCATGCTTGCTTTGCTTGGTCGTAATGTGCTTTTGCCGTTTCATATTTCTTAGAATTTTTTAATTGATTTTATAGAGCTCTACATTTTTCTCTGCTTCCCTTCCATCCTCTCCCCTCCCCTTCAACCCTCTCCCAAGGTCCCCATCCTCCCAATTTTCTCAGGCAATCTTGTCTTTTTCTACTTTCCATGTAGATTAGATCTATGTATGTCTCTCTTAGTGTCCTCATTGTTGTCTAGGTTCTCTGGGATTGTGATTTGTGGGCTGATTTTCTTTGCTTTATGTTTAAAAACCACTTATGAGTAAGTACATATGATAATTGTCTTTCTGGGTCTGGGTTACATGACTCAATATAATGTTTTCTAGCTCCATCCATTCGCCTGCAAATTTCAAGATGTCTTTATT